ATACAAATAAAGCAAGCACACCCCAAGTGACGACCTGGCAAACAGTTATACCGAGAAAGTTACGAGAAGTTGTGTTGCGTCAATCCCATGATAGTTTAACAGGAGGACATCTCGGAGTTAAGGAAACATTGAGTCACCTACGACAGAGATTTTACTGAATAGGTATTAGGCAAGATGTGGAAGAATGGTGCAGGACCTGTAGTACATGTTGTGCAAAAAGGGGACCCAAGCATAAGGGACGTGCTCCAATGAAGTTATATCAAGTTGGTGCACCAATGGAAAGAGTGGCCATTGACACTGCTGGTCATTTGCTCCAAACTCGTGCTGGAAACAGATACATTTGTGTGGTGATGGATTATTTCACCAAGTGGCCTGAGGCATATGCAATACCAAATCAGCTATCAGTCGGCTATTAGTGATTTCTTCTTCAGATTTGGTATGCCATATGAACTGCATTCAGATCAAGGCCGTAACTTTGAATCAGCTGTGTTCCATGAATGCTGCAAGTTGGACACTGGGACAGGAATTGGCAAAGTTTTGTATTAGCCGCCAAGATGACGGGGATGTCTTACTCCCTCCACTGTTGATGGCCTATAGAACAGCAGAGCATGAAGCCACTGGATACATTCCAGCAAAGCTGATGTTTGGTCGGGAACTTCGGTTGCCAGTGGATCTGTTAACAGGACGCCCACCTTATGAAGAGTTGCCTGAAAATGTGTCAGAGTTTGTGAAAGTGTTAACGGAAAGGATGGATGATATTCACCATCAAGTGCGTCCAAACTTGAAAACGTCTGCCAATTCCATGAAGCAATGTTATGATAAGAGATCTACTGAAGTCAGCTTTGTACCAGGAGACAAGGTGTGGTTGTACAATCCAAGGAACACCAAAGGGAAGTCTCCTAAGTTGTCTTCTCCATGGGAAGGCCCATATGATATAGTGTATTGTCTCTCAGACGTGACTTTCTGAATAAATTGTGGTCGGCGAGGTAAGCTTTCGTGTTGTCACGGTCCAGGATATTTCAATTGGGATGAAGTGAACAACAGAACAAAAGTTCCGTTGAAGACGTGTCACCTGAGAAAGCCATTGTCAAAGAAGAAACTCTACCCTGTTTTGAGAAGGGAAACAGTGAAGCCCTTGATGAAGTTACTACCACTGATGTGACTATTACCGATAATAGGACATTTCCTGATGCAGCAGATGAACCCCACGTGAAGCAGAAGCCAACGAGATGGAGACCAGGATAGACGAAGATACGTCCCGTAAAATTAAGAGACTTTGTTGAATTTAAATTTTGTGTTTGTAAAGTCTGTACATTTAATTAAGTTATTGTTAATTTTCCATTGGTTTAATGTAAGTGGCTATTGTTCGGGTCGAAAAATACTAAGGAAGGGGCAGTGTTATGACAGCGGAAGTCACGTGACCCTAGTAACACGTCATGAGATTCTAGAAAGATCATGTCAGTGCGTGTTCTCCACACGCCCTCTATTTCGTATATATAAGACAGGCGAGAAGTGACGGCATTGATATGAATAATTGCATATTGAAGAGATAGAGATGGACAATTGAGTCAAGCGGGGTGGAAAGTGCGTGAATCGTTCGTTGTGAATTATAGTGTGTGTTTAAGTTAAAGTG